CCTCCGCCCGGCGTGGCTCATTCCCGGGGCAGGGCGGTGCTTGCAGAGTCCTGGGGTGAAGCAGGGTCGGGACCAGGTCTGGGCCTGGCTTCACGCGGATGTGCCCTTGGCCGAAGCCCCTTCACTCCATTGCACACTGAGGCCTTGAGGTCGGGGTAGCAGGAGACAGCAACTCCTCCACATCCTCCACATCCTCCACATCGTCCTCTTCCCACCCCTGCATTAGCTCACCTGCTCTCAGTCCTTTCCAGTTCTAGCCTGCTGCCTACCACGGCCACTCAGAAAACTGTAATCATACTTCCGAACTCAGTGGGCACACGGTCTTTACACATCGCCTTCTGTGACTGTTTTGGACAGTTGCTCACAGTATTTTTTGTTTCCGTTCCTCCTACAGGGAGGCTCTACCTTTCTGTCACTCATCTGTCCTGCTCAGCTTCCCTTCTCCCCTAGTGGGACCCGATGTCCTGGGGCTATCGCATGAGTCTTGCATCCCTGAGTCCTGCACAGAACCTGTCACAGTCACAGCTCAATCATGTTGACTGATGTGGAAATTTCCTCTCTTTACTGCTGATGGCCCCTTTTCACTTTAGAGTGGTTAGAATGAACCCCATCACTGGGTGCTATGAACACACACTAATACGAATTGAAAGAGCTCAGATTTATTAAACATATTTAAAATGATCGTTTTATTCCAGTGGTTCTTTGTGTGTTGACTCCCATTCAGGGGCCCAGAGCAGGGTGTGGAAGAGATGGCAAAATCTTCTGAGGAGAAACTGGCAGCTGTGTATTTCAGCCTCCTCTCTGCCCTGTCCCGGGGAGGGATTCCTAGCCCCTAGAAATGGGATGGATGAGAACCGCCCACCTCTCCCCTTTTCCCATGAGGGCAAGAAGAGGGTGTGGTGAGGTCCAAAACTCTTATACCCTTCCTTCTCCTCCCGTCTTCACTTTATCTTGGGCCCCCGAGGAAGGACTGTCCCATCCTGCTTCAGTGTCTCATGACTGCAGAGACTCATCCTGTGTTCCAAGAACGGAGTTTGGGATGCAGAAGAGGGGGCACTCAATGGAAGGAAAACTTCCAGCAGTCATGGATGCACCCATTTATTTTTAAGGGTTAAACCAGGGGAGAAGCTTTTGAAAGTGCCACTCTTCTGTTGAGACTCTCTCATGTTGCCAGTCTGGCTGCCCACTGAAATACCCGATCAGTCTAGGGAAGAAACCAACTGTGCGGAGCAGCTGAAAGTGACCTGGCAAACCCCTTCTCTAGAGACACTGGAAGGTTTGAATGTCAGACACTTCTATACCCTGACCCAGTGGACAAGAGCCCTGCGCATTTCAGCACCCATTTAAACTACCACTTTGTTCTGCAGTGCAGGGAGACTTCCATGTGCCTTGTCTCTTCCACTCCTGGGGATAGAAATTGAAGAGGCAAACAGGGAAGAGGAGGGTGCAGTGTGTGCATTCCAAATGCCTCTCCTCAGAGAGGGAAGGTGTTGGGACTCCTTACCAGCCTTGTGACACTGTACTGAGGGTGGGTTGGGACCCAATGTGTGCCTGGGCTTTTCCTACCTGTTCAGTGTGAATGTCTCCTCGGCCATCCAGGCACAGGAGCCTCGAAAACAGTTTCTGGTGTTCAGATGTTTTATTTAGTGAACTCAGGGGGAGGGAGAATCAGAAGCCTAAATTCCACTGTGCTGCTGCCTTACTTGCCATGAGGACCGAATGTGACACTGAAACTGTTGGAGGGGCATTCAAAACAAACAGAGAAAAGACAGGCAACAGTGAAAGTGAGATAGCCACTTTTTCCTTATATGAAAGGACAAGACCTGAAACTCTGTTTCTATTCAAATCAGTTGGCAGTGTTTCAGGAATTCAAGAGATTGGAGACTCAGGGAGTGAAACAGGAGGACTTTATTTCAGGATGAAGGTGTGCAAGGGCTCAACTGACCCCTGTACAGAGAAAGTGATGAATAAAGAGAAGTTCCAAGTTCCAGCATTTATACATTTTGTGGAAGGGGGTGATTTGTGTGTGTGTGTGTGTGTGTGTGTGTGTTTTCCTTTTTTTTTCCTTTCTTTTTTTGATTTTTTTTTTTTTTTTTTTGGTTTTGTTTGTTACACAGGACCTTGCCCTTGCCAAGCAGAAGGGGGTGGTTTTTCTAGTGACATAGCAAGTGATCTACCAGAACAGGACAAGTTCAGATGGTTTTGTAGCTTGTCTCAAAAGAAGACAGTGTCTTATGAAATATATGAAAATCGAGTTTGAGAAACTTTGCCTAGGGAACATAGTTGTCAATTTTATCTGTACCAGAATAAGAAATTACAGTTACAGGGAAGTGGGGGTTGCTTGGGAGGAGGGAACCGCCCAAGGCTGAGAACCACTTGTTTGTCCTTTAAGTCCTGCTTCAGGAACTGTGCTTGAAAATGGGGACTGGTGTCCAACACCGTGGGTGTCAAGTCACATCAGTGCCACGCTCACTCCCTCACTGAAGGCACCTTGGGGAGAGATAAATGTCTAAGCTGCTGGGATCATCTTCCTCAGGCAGGGCATACAGTTCTATAAATTGATTTATGTCACCGGGAGTTCCGGCCCAAGGAACATCCCAATCCTGCAGACATATATGCTGGATGTCATCACACTGACTGTCCACTGCTGGCCTCCACGCAGGGGCTTCATGTCTCCTGGTGCTGTGGCTCTCGGAGGGTTCATGGTTTCCATCCTCTGACGTTCCTGCAATTGGTGAGGCATTTGACTTGGGATTTGGTAGTGCGGCCTCCTCCTTTTCCAAAACGTGCTGTGTGGATGTTCCCGGTGATGCCTCTTGCTGCACTCTTAGCCTGATTTTCTTCTGTTTCATCCGCTGGTTCTTAAACCAAATCTAAAGGGAAAGGAGGAGCAGCTTATATCAACCTGCTGTACTTTGTATCAAGATTCATATGGTGGGTGTTTGCCTTCTATGTAACAGCGCAGAGAAGTGGCATGTGCTTTAAGAGTTGGAGGCTTTGGTGCATGCCTGCAATCCCAGCACATGGGAGGCTGAGGCAGGAGGATCACTGTGAGCTCGAGACCAGCCTGGGCTACATAGTGAGTTCCAGGTCAGTCTCAACTACATAGTGAGACCCTGTCTCAAAAAACAAAAAAACAAAACAAAACAAAGAGTTGGAGGCTTGCATGAAGTAATTGGGTCTCAGAAAAATGGCCTTTGGAAGGGATTAAAGCACATCTTTAAAGAGGGTTAGGACACACAGCAGTAGGCTAATGTCAATAGTGGGCTGCTCATATGGAAACCAAACCCAATTGGCAGTATCTGAGATCCAGACTCAAAGAGCCCTATGCAGGGCTCTGGTCCAGGATGCAAATTCTGGCTCTTGTGTTGATTACTCTGGAAGACCAGTCTTAAGGGTGAGCTTCGGTCATTCAAAACAGTGATCATACCTGGGTGTGGTTGCCCTGGACTGCAATGCCAGCACTCAGGAGACTGAGAGGGGAGGACTGCCTTAGGTACCAGGCTAGCCTGGGCTACATAGTGAGTTCAAGACCAAGACCAGCCTGATTAGAGTGAGACCCTGTCTCAGGAAAAAAAAGAAAAAGGAAGAAGACTGTGTGAGGTTCTAAGTCAGGTGCACTGATGAGAGACACATGCAAGCACCTACCTTTATCACCGCTTCCTCGAGATTCAGTTTTGACTGCAATTCATGTATAGCATCAGTGTCTGGATGAGTGTCCTTCTCAAAGGCATCCATCAATACTGCCAGTTGATTTTGGCTAAATACGGTACGTGGCCGGCGAGTATATTGTTCCTTTTCTGCTTAGGGAACACACAAAAGACTCACGTTCAAATAATATCCAGATGACAAAGACAAGAGATCCATGTTAAAATAATAGCCCAATGAAATTGCATGCCTGGGCCTGACCTGTGAGACAAAGGCTTGCCCTAAAATGCCATCCACGGAACCCAGGCCTCAGCACCTCTCTGTGATTGTTCTGCACCTCCAGATCACCAGCCCCTCATGGGAGGGAATACAGCATTGGCATGAGAGTAACACTAGGCTCGTGAGTGCACATGGTTCAGTACTTGAGAGATCACTTTAAGACCCCACCAATGATTTGGTCATTTATTAGTGAGGACACTGTGGGGAGCAGCCATGAAGTTAAGTGAGCTCAGAGTACATATTGATTCTCTCATCTACTGGCTCTGTGATTTAGTCAGTTGTTGCACTTATATTCTTTGCCATTGTTTTTTTATTTTTTTGAGACAAGGTCTCACTATGTAGTTGAGACTGCCCTGGAACTCACTTTGTAGCCCAGGCTGGTCTTGAACTCACAGCAATGCTCCTGCCTCAGCCTCCTGAGTGCTGGGATTAGAGGCGTGTACCACCACGCCCGGATTGGTTTTCAAATAGTAAAATACCCCCCGCCTTCTTTTTGAAGCCGTGATCAAACTTGGGTCCTTGCTCTTATGAGGCAGGTCACAGCACCACTGAGCTAAATTCCCAGCCCTTCTAATAGTAAAATGATCCCAGATAACTCACGCCCTTTAGAAAGATATGAGTTTCCAAAGAAGAAAGTAAACTAGAGTATTTGTGCCCAATGGGAGTTTATGCTACTGTATAAAATGGCCTAAGGCCTCGTCTTCTGGGAATTACCTAATGTCATGGCATCCACGTTTTATGGAGTATTTTACTTACAAGAGGCCTTTAGGATTCACACACACACACACACACACACACACACACACACACACACACACACAGAGCAAAACCACACCGCCAGCATACTGCCTAATTCTCCCTTAATGAAAACAATCCATACAATACAGAGATTTCTTAGCTCTCCAATCCCTGTCTAGACAGAGGGCAAACATTATAGGGCACTGGAGAAAATCAAACATGGTATTGAAGGAAAGATACAGACAGAGATTTACACAGAAAAAGATGGAAAAAGGAAAAACCAGAGCCGGGGATTTAGCTCAGTGGTTCTGCCGCCTGCCTTGCAAGTGCAAAGACCTGAGTTCAATCCCCGGTACCAAAAAGAACACAAAACTAGGAGCAAATGGATGGCAGCTGCAGTTTAAAGACAGACTGGTAAAGCAAAACATGACAATCAATATTCTCAGATTAATAGAATATATTGCACTCATACATCAAAAATCTCTTGAAAACCAAAGAAAATCCATTAGGACAAATGATCTTAGAAATCAGAAGCTAAAAGTAAACTTTTGAACAATCATGGAAGAGTTGGAAAAGAATGTTAAACAAGTATTGCTGAAGGCAGGCTAGAACAGACAAAAGTGTGTGAAAAGACTGAAGATACAGGAAAAGACAACCTTGGTCCGAGATGGCTAAGAAATACAGTGAGAAATACTAGGTAGGCTATGGATGTTCTCAGTGGCAGAGAGCTTTCTTAGCATTTGTGATGCTATGTGTTCGATATCCAGCATGTGTTAAAAAGATAAAAGAGCAATATTTAGATGAATAAGAGGTATTTATTTGTCTAAAGTGAGATTTCAGAGGTCTGAAATTATTATGAAAGAAATAACTTTTGAAGATTTGAGAAGTGAAATGCAGCAGTCTCCAATTAGCCATAATCTGGCCTCAGCTAAACCTCAGTGGCTGTGATACTGCCACTGCACACAGCGATGCAGGAGTCTCCGGACTGAGATATTGAACGTCAAGGAGGAGAAAAGAACAAGCAGTTTGAGTTGTATCGCAAAATTCCAGAATACTGTGCTTTGAGCAAATCCTGCAGCTTCTCACTGAAAATAGGATTTCTCTGAAAAGACATGGTAGTTAGAATTGCAGTGGTCTTCGGAAGGGCGTCACTGCTCGGCAGAAGGCAAGGAATAGAGATCGATAATAGTGTTAGGGAAACTCTTTTGACCTGGTGTGCAGCCTTATTTGTTCTTTAGGAAGAAAAGGGTGCGGGAGCCCCTTTCAATTCCATGGAGTATTCCCAAAGCAGGCTGTACACAGTGCAGGCCGTCAAGAATTAACCCTGAACCTGTCTTGTTTTAAGAAGTGAGTCCGACTGAGTTCAGAGTGACTCTTACCCAAATTCCATTCTCAGAAATGAAAACTTCTCAACTGAAAAGACAGAGTAACCCATTAACCACAACCTATATCTGGTCTGTTCCATTCCTAATGCAAGAATGCTTTGTCCCTTCTTTTAAAAGCCTTTCCTAGGTCAATAACTACACTTGATCTTAGCCAAAAGGCTGAGAAGCAATTGGGCCAGTAACTTATCTCTAGCAACCACACTAGATCCCTCAGCCTAACCTAACACTGATGTTGTCACCAATAAATATCGGTGATTCTGGCTGTTTGAGGGTTCTTGCTTGCTCTGGATTTGAACATCTCACTTCCCCATTTCATTTTGATCCTGTCTCCGAGTCTTTCTTCTCACCTTGTGTAGAGCACCAAGCTGGAGATCAGAATCCTCTGAAGGATTCCTGACAGAAGAAAATAAAGATGGTTTCAGAGACTCATGCGCTCTAAAGTCTGACCTCCCATGGAGCATGAAGGAAACCCCATGAAGGGCTGGGGATTTAGCTCAGAGGTTCCACCACCTGCCTCTCAAGTGCAAGGACCCGAGTTCAATCCCCAGTACCAAAAAAAAAAAAAAAAAAAAAAGAAAAGAAAAAAAGAAAGAAAAAAAAGAACGAAAACCCCATGAGAACTCTGTTCAACGAAGCACCAATTGAAAAACGGGAAGATGTGAGTGGGAGAAAAGGGAATCCACAGAGTGTAGCAAAGGGACATGGTGGGTTTTCCACCAGCACAATGGGCCTGGGAAGCAAGCTGGGCAGGCTCCAGGAGGACACAGCAGTTTGAGCAGACGGGACACGAACTTGATGGAGGACATCTCTGTGGACTGAGCTCCTGTGCTGTCTCCCAACAGGCCAGAACAGATCAAACTGGAGGCACCAGTGCTGAGGTGCACAAAATCAAATGGTACCTCTAAGAGGACCTGTTATTTAAAAGACCAGGAGATTCCAGTCAGTGAATCCACATAATAAAGAAGTTCTTTCTCTTTTAACCCGATGGAGTAAATTTCAAAGAACCTGTCCTGTGTTTGTCCTTTTTCTGCCTTCTTTGGCCTTTGTTGTGCCTCTAAAGCCTGTGTCCTATGTCCAGATCACTGTATTTCACACAATAAGGTTTCCCCTGATTCCAGAATCACAAATAAAAAGCCCATTTCATGTTTAAACTAAATGTGTTGTATTTTTGACAGAGTCAAGCAGGAAGAGTTAGAATACCCAGAAGAAATATTGCAGATGCTATGGGGTGAACTATGAAATCATGGGGTCGAAATGGAGAAAAATACATCTTACATAAATAAGAAGAAAGGCAATTGCTCACACCAAAAGTTAAGAAATCTATATTAAAGTCATCCATGTACGCCCGTGTCAGCATCAGCGCTGTTATACAGCTGTGAGTATGTGCTCCATAAAATTTTGTTCAAACATGGTCCTAGGAGGTTATAGTAGGGCTACAAATTCCTGTCACAGCTACAAGCCATTACTCTCCTGTTTGTGGTACTGCTGGGCAAAACAGATCTAAGGAGCTTCCAGTCACATATAAAAGCATAGCTCACATTTTGTTGGCATTTTAGAGGGCACTCCTGCCTACCCCACAGTTGTGATACAATATGAGGCCATGTTACATAGCAGCACAAGCCTCCCGCCTGTCACTTACTGCGGGTCTGGATCCCATCGTTTCCTACTGAGTTAGGTAGAACCCTATATCTCATTCCTACTCCTCAGGAGCAGAGGGCCATGCTATAGGTGCGTGTGTAAGTGTATAAAGCGCAGGCTGGGCTCACTGTGCTCAGACTCGTGAACCTCCTGCCTCAGCCACCCGAGAGTGGCGAGTCTACAACCTCAGACCACCAAAATCACCAGTTGTTCTACTCTAAAAATAAATTCATTTTATCTGCCGCCTGCCTCGCACTCCCAAGGTCCCGAGTTTGATCCCCGCTACACACACATACACAAAATAATAATAATAAATTAATAAATAAGTTCATTTTTTGGAACTTTTAGAAGAAAATATGCTGGGGGTAGGGACGGCGGGCTATGCCTCCAATCCCAGGGGGCCGAGGCAGGAGGATCCCTGTGATTTCAAGGCCAGCCTGGGCTATACAGCGAGTTCAGGCCAGAATGAACCCCTGGGTGAAACTCCTTTTCAAAACTAAACTAAAGTAAATTTTAAAAATAAAATTATATCTCTCTCCCCAGACAAAAACACACGTTAAACCACCTTTTATAAATAATATTGGTTAATAGGACAGCATCAACATTTAAAATACCTAGACCACAGAATTGCTTAGCAAGAAACACAAGCCACTGAATGGGAAAATGTATTTGCAACAGACATAAGATATGAGTTCTTAGTGTGTAGAAGGCAGCAAAGATTAGTCTACCATTCACGAAGCGGGAGAACCGCGGCCAAGTCCTCACCTCTCACCCTGGTTCGTCCACCACCCACCCCTCAGCCCCAGGTTCCTCCTGCTCGCTCCGCTCACCTGGCTCTCCGGGCTTCCCCAGGTCTCCCGACATGGCAGCTGAAGGACAGGGCAAGGGCTGCACCCTGCTCGATCTGGAGCTCCTCTGTTCAAGCGCTCACTGCGCTAGAGCACCTCGCTATTTAAGCAAAATCTGAATGCACCCAGGTCTCCACCCGACCCACCCTAATCAAACCTATTGTTACGCCCTATTAATCTGTCAAAGGCCGTA